CACTAACCCTCTTTTTATCTGCTTTTTAATGGTGACCAGATATGTCACTTGGGTGTTACCCAGTTCTTGTAGAGAATATATTCTGATCCAAATCTGAACTCTAAAGATAAGAAACTGCTCCATTTCCAACTTCATTTTGTTTCCATGCAGAATATTCTTCTACATGATTATAGGCATTTTTTGGTTTAATTACGAACATTTAATTTAATCAGGGTAATGGCATATCTTTTTCTCTCTAATTTAAGCTTAAAATGACTTGCTTAAAGGCATAAAGCGTTTTTTTTTTTTTTTTACCCTCAAAGTTGGGCTGATTTCATTTTTTTTTTTTTTTTTAAGGCTCTGTCTTGCAAATGGTTCTTTTTATTTTTGTCTGGGCACATGATGATAAAGGGGAAATTTTTACTAGCTTTGTACCTTTTTTCCCTCTTTTACTGATTTTTCATATGGGTTCTTAAATTTCCTATCAAATTATTTAGTGAAAAAACAGTCCCATGTAACTTTCCTGTAAAACTCAACTAATTTGAAAAAAATATTTAGAGAGAGAACATGACACATTTTGTTCTGCTTTGTTTCATCATCCAAACCACTATAAATCTGCAGACTTTAGTTAGCATCGCTATGGACTTCAGCCTCTGTACTCTTTTGATTGCAAACAAACATGAAAGCAGAAAAAAATAAGACAAACTGTTTCTGAGAACTGGCTTTCAAAAGCAAGACTGCTTAGAATATGCATCCTTCACATCACCCTCCTAAATGACTGATATCCACCATTAGCAAGAGTTCAAAGGCCTGTGTGACTGAGAGGGAATTCATTCATTATAAACAGTTTGGCAATGTTTTGAATGGAATTGTATGACTCAAGACTTGTAACAGTATAGTTCTAATAATGATTTATACAGACTGCCATAAACTATAATGAAAAGGTCAAATATTGGTTATTAGAGGTTTCAGTCTGTAGTCATGTCATCTTCTTGCCAAATGAAACCAATATTGGTTTTGGTAGATAAAATTTTGACCTTAATCTTTTGTCCTCATTTCAGGCCTTTTAAATCTGGTAATCTTTTTAAGACTGACTGAAAAAGCAAAACACACATTTTCTATGTCTGACTTAAAAATATCTTTCTGATATTGTCTTGACTCTTGAATGGTGTCTTGGAACTTACACTTGTACAAAATGTAGAGAAAACCTAAAACTGATGATCTCTTTCTGCATCTGTTGACTTTATAGTAGACTTCTGTAGAGTTTATTTTCAATTTTGCATCTGTTGCTGCAGTTTTGGCAATTGAACAGTGCTAATGTGAAATTAAGATTTTTTTCTTTTTCAGTAGTTAAAAATTAGCAGTTCTTGTGTCTGAGATGTTTTGTATTCTGTTTCTAGTACAGTGACTGTACTCTGAATTTCTTCAGTGTGACTGTATGTATTTAGAGAGGTTATCTATGAAATTAAGATTTTTTTCTTTTTCAGTAGTTAAAAATTAGCAGTTCTTGTGTCTGAGATGTTTTGTATTCTGTTTCTAGTACAGTGACTGTACTCTGAATTTCTTCAGTGTGACTGTATGTATTTAGAGAGGTTATC